TATATATATATTATAGAGAGACATTCCTCGGTGCGTGCCAACCACATTCTCATTCATATTCTAACCAACAAGAGCCCATAACAAAAGGACAGACTGCCATAAAGAAGCATGCGTTTGGTCGTCGTTGCATCGATTGAGAGATAATTATGATTAGCAAGCGTGGTCTCGGGTTGTTTCCCTGTCTGGTCCTAGGAAGAACCTGTTTTAGGTTTTACGCCAGGCATATAGGTCTGGGTTTGTTTTTGTTGTTTGTTTGTTTTTTGGGGGGTGAAGGGACTCTTTTTGGTTGTTTGTTGTTGTTGTTTTGTTTTTTGTGTTTTTTGTTTGTTTTTTGTTTTTTGGGGGGGGTTGCATTCAGTCTGGAGTTTGTGTGTTTTTGTTTTGTTTTGTTTTTTCTTTGATTTTTAAAAAATAACTATTCGTTACATTTTTTATTATACATCTGTAGCTGATTATGTTTTCGTACCAATGTCTGTGGTGTAACAGTTAGCGCTTGTCATTGCACACAGAAGACTCTGGGGTGCTCTGGTGTGGTTTGCTTCTTCTTTCCTATTAAACATCCATCGGCCTGATCTTACCTTCTTCTTTTTTATGTTTGTTACTCTCTTGTAACACTTCTAATCTTCTGGCGCTCATATGACCTTATGCAGTTGCGAGCGCCGTAAAACCTCTACTAAACAGAAGACTCGAGTATGGTTCCCATGCGAGGGGGATTGTTATCGAGTTTCTCTTTGGTTTCTAATGGGACTTGTATCCATATTAGCCTGGTTTGACGCTTCTACTTCATAAAACAGTCCTATTTCTTTTCTTCTCCATTGTATTTTCTGTGTCTGTCTGTGTTTCTGTCTGTCTCTTTCCACGTTTTTCTTTGTATGTTATTCCCAAGAAGTAGCACCTCTTATCTTCGGCACTCGTATGACCTGTGTGTGTTGCAAGTGCCTTAAACTTCTTCATCATCATCATCTGATGCTTTGCCGACTGGCGTGGGCGATCATGGACCTCCACTTCACTCTGTCTTGCGTTGCAGCAATGGTGTCTGTTGTTCTTGCTGCTCCTATCCATGTTGTCATCTTGTCCAGTATCTTTTTCCTCTGTCTGCCTCCGCCTCTCTTTCCATCAAACTTGCCTGTTGTTACAGTATTCTCCTATGTAAGTAAACCTCTTACTGAAACTTAGAGTAAAATTATAATGCTTCCTGTCTCTCTCTCAACAGCTGCGTGTACCTGGCCCAGAACGTGACGCCGGCCATCCCCGCCATAGGTGGCGCCCTCTTCATCTTCGTCATGGCCACTTTGCTCCGGACCAGTTTCAGCGACCCTGGCGTCATCCCGCGCGCCTCGGCCGAGGAGGCCGCCGAGATGGAGCGACAGAACGGTAAGGCCCTTTTCGTTGTTTTAACCAACTCCAGTTGGGCTTTGTCCCTGCCTGTCATGGTAAATCCAGGCTGAGAAGGATACAATGCCCCGTTAGAAAGATGGAAATACTCAATTAAAAATAGGAATCGAACTCAAGTCTTTTGCATGCAACAGAGAAGCATCTAACCTTTACACTACAAACATTGGTCTGCTAGTTTTGTCACAGTAGTTTGATACAGTTAGGGGTGGCCGGGTCCTTCCTGGAGGGCGAAAAGCTGGCATTTATTAATGCAACTTAATCAAATCCATCAAAATTGAACGTGCAGGATTTTCCCCACGTTGTGGTCGGGTACATTTTTTACCAGAAGCATGGCCAATCAGGAGGCTAATGTGTGTCACGTGTTGCATGATATAGTGGAAATAATGCCCTAATGAATTTACGGATCAAATGTGATGAAGCCAAAGCAGAGATCTGTTTGATATAGTTCGCCGTGACCAGCACCATTACCCGGTCTGATCTCCTCTGTCCCCTTCTCCTCCTCCTCTCTTCCTCTCTTGTTCTTTCCCTCTCTCTCTCTCTCTCTCTCTCTCTCTCTCTCACTCTCTCTCACTCTCTCTCTCTCTCT